ATCATTCTGTGGTTTGAGTTCCAGTTAGACTCTTGTTATGTGTTCACAACCTTTAACCTCTCTGCGTCTCTCTGCCTGCCTGTGTCTCACTAGTTTCATCCTGGTCGCCTGTGTTGCTCCCGCCCTGCTCGTTAGTCCCTGTGTGTATTTGTTTGCTGTGTGTCTTCAGTCCTTGTCGTGTATTCACTGTGTCCCGTGTTGTAGTGTTTAGCCTGCCTTGCTCGTCGTGCTCATCTGTTGTCTGGATTATCACCCTTTTTGGATTTCTGTTGGATTACCTTTTTTAATTTGGGCTGTCCGTGTAAGTGTGCTCACTCTTGGTTTTGCCTTTAATAAATATCCTCTGAACTGTACCTGCTCCTATCAGTGTCCTGCATTTGGGTCCACCAACCTGTTCCAATACACCCAACCCTGACACAAAGACTACGTTCAGCCTGCAAGCCAATGTGACCCATATCCGATTTTTTTGCCCATGTTACTCAGATCTGATCTTTTTATGACAGTGTGAACAGGCCAAGTCACATGGAATCTGAGCGTTTCCAGTTCGGATATGGGCCACTTCCATATGTGGTCCAAATCCGATACAGAGCGGATCTTTTTAAAGCCCCTCCAGCCAGTTTTAACTGCCGTTTTTGGTGAACGTTCTCTCTCAAACAGGGAATGGGGGTGTGGTTAATAGTCGGACGTAATACATTACCATGACAACCAAAAACTGACCAGCTGGTGTGTTCACTAACGATATGCTGTGTTAACATCACTACTCTCTGGCAGGAGTAGATATTACTTAGCCATGATAGAAACTAATGTGCGCGTATCAGCTGTTATCAATCATCAGAGGTGGGACCAAGTCATTATTTTACAAGTCTGAGTCAAGTCTCAAGTTTTAGCACTCAAGTCCCAAGTCGAGTCCCAAGTCCAGACCAATCATGAGTGCCAAGTACGAGTCAAGTCTCAAGTCAAGGACAAGTAAGTCCAAGTCAAGTCCAAGTCTTAAACTTTGAGTTTTGAGTCCTGAACAAGTCATAATGCGCTCTTCACCAAATTTAAAACCATTTAAAAAGTTTTTAAAAGTTAAAAATAAAACAATGTATTGAATGAAGCATTAGCCTGTACAGAAAGAAGGCAGAGGTGCAGCTTCACACAACAAATTTCATGAATTAAATTAAATGTTCATGTAGGGCTGCTAATTATTTTGGTCAATATTGAGATCAGAATTAGGCTATTAAACAGGGTTACTCATTGCCTTAGGAAACATTAAACTATTGAAATGTAATACCTGCTTTTTAAAAACTAGGCTACTATATATGCATTACTCCAAAATCCCATCTAGCCCATGAAATGAGAAACAATAATCCAACATTATTAACTTAAAGCAGCATCTAGTGTACAAAAGGACAACAACAGCACAGATTCCCCCAAGTTGACAGCTTTGGGTGACGGATGGGTCACTGAGGGGGCTCTGTGTGCGTGTGTGTGTGTGTGTGTGTGTGTGTGTGTACACGGAGGGGAGCAGATCAGGTGACAGGTGATCTACTCGAGTTGACGAAGTTACGTTACAGAACGCTAAAATAAAACCGTGTTGTTTTGTCGGGAGATGCAGTGACAGAAACCAGCGCTGAGAAAACTATAAATCGCTATGACGTTAGAAGATGCAGACACAGTGGATATTTTACAAGAACCGATCAGGTAAAGCAACACTGAACGCACCTTTTAGGGAGGGACGAGAGCCTCAACTGTAAAGGAAATGAGTGCTCTGGGTTTATAAAACAAGTGTAGTTGTGAAACAGCACCCAGCGCTATTATCGTTTTATCTTAATTAACTTGTTTTTATAATTGGTGGAAGCAGCTTTAGCAACAGCTGCAGCAGTCTCTCTACAGTGTTTCGACCTGATCTTTCTTTTCTCCGTGAGGTGGGGGAATTTAGAAAGTTGCGTGGTGCTACGTCCGACCCCCAGCTGTTGTGCATTAGCCTATGCCTAAAATTCCTCCAGCCCAAGGGAACGATCATGAACCGTTCACAGCGCGCTGGTAGTAGGCCTATGTGATGGCAATTCGAGTTTTCAAATGAACAGCTCAGGCAAACACTTGTCTTTCTGTGAGTTTTATTCAAGTCTTCTGCAGAAGGACTCACAGCAAAACACATACACCGTGTACATGTATGCTCGAATGAGTGAGGAGAGCTCTGTGAGCCTGTTATTTATCCAGCTTTAGAGACACATTGTCCCTGAAGTCTGGATAACACAGAGAACAGAGATATTTTGACTGTTACGTTTACACAGATTCAGTGCCACATCACAGTCCAGGGTTACATGCAATATGTTTTGAATTCCCATTACACCTACTAGGCTACACAACCCATTGTAGGTCCCCAGATTTGTCGGTCACTGGGGCGCACAGGGACAGGGACAAGAGATTGCGGAACGGTCGGGCGCGCTGGAGGAAGCCACACGCTCCAGTCTAATTGAGCACCGCGCTATGTTGATGCGCTGCACTGTTTTTTATATCATAATTTAAATTCGGGCATGGGGAGTGTCAAGCCAGCTTGATTCAAAAGGCTCAAGTCCAAGTGAAGTCACGAGTCTTTGCTGTTCAAGTCAAAATCAAGTTGCAAGTCTTCTTTGATTTTGTCAAGTCGAGTCTAAAGTCATCATTTTTGTGACTCGAGTCTGACTCGAGTCCATATCTCTGTCAATCATACAGTCGATGGTCTTGTCACCGCTGCACATGATGACTCCCACTACATTTTATGGTGCGCTTACTTTACCGCAGGGATGTGGTGGGTGCCTCCGCCGATGCATTGGTAAAACGGCTGTCAGTAAAATGCATGTTGCGGACTGTACATAAGACGGTGGCAGGTGAAAGTGCGACACGTTTTCTGTCATCTGTCATCCAACACCGCACGCACAAATGCCTTTATGAAAATGAACAGCACACTAAACCAAGAGTAGGAAACTAAAAAATAAAATGAAGACCCTCTGTTAGCTAACTTTCTGCAATAACTATGCTAACTAACTACACCTGGCTAACTACAACTTAGTTAACTTAGCTAACTAAACTAGAAAGACAAACCAACAATCAGACACAGAGAGACATACCTACTGTAAGTTCTAAGTAAATTACATGATAAATTGGTTAGATAGCTCACAACGATGTTTATCGGTTTGATGCTCTGACTTAACGAGGCGTGACGGTGTGACAGTTTTTTAAGGAGGCATGACAGTGCGCCTGCGCAAGCTTGGAGAATGACATATGACTAATGGAATTACTATAGTCATAACTTTTATCAAAAAATATTTGGCAAACTATGTGGGTAATCAACATTGTAAGGAAATACACTGGACGGGGGCTTTAAATGCGACCTCAGTCTGGACACTCAGGTCGCATTTGATCCGACTTTGATGTCACTGTAGAGCAGCAGTTCTGCTGTAGACGGAGCCGCGCTGAACGAAAAAGCTCCACAAAAAGCCATTATTAAATATGTAGCTCTCTTCCTTCTCTACTTCGCCATCATCTGCTCACAAATTCCCTTTCTTATACCTAAAATCCACCGGACCGGGGCTCTCTTCTGAGTTACGTGCACCATAGACTGTATATACAACGCTGACGTTACTTCAATCAATCAACATTTATTTATATAGCACTTTACAGCAACCAATAGGTGCCCAAAGTGCTTTACATCAACCAAGAATAAACAACACAGCATTCAATAAAATTCAAGAAGAAAACACATGAAGCATAGAAAACAGTAAGTCAGATAAGGTTGCCTAAAATCATCAGAAGAGGGAAGTTGTTGCACCACTACTGCATATTAAAAGCCATTCTAAAAAAATTTTTAAGTTTTGATTTGTAGTGTAGTGGACCAACAGTGTGGATTTGTGCATGTTATAATTTAGAGACTCAACTTCTCTTTTCTCTCCCAGAGAGAAACGAGGGGGTAAAGATATCAACTTTCAACAGACGGCTGAAGAGACCCAAAGGAAAAGGTGAAAGGTTGCTTCCCCTAAGTGCTATTCCGGGGCAGTTGATCGTAAAACTGGCCACTTGGCAACAGCCGAGATAAGCCTCTCGGTGCCTGACTGTTAAACTGACAAAAGGGACATTAACCAGTGATTAGCGTTTCCCTGAAATAAGTATTACATGCCATCATTCTGAAATACTAACCTTTTAAGGTCGAACTACGGACAATTGTTTTCCTGTTACCAAATGCTTAAACTTAGAATGGTACAAACGTTTGACCAATGAGGTTTGATTGTGGGAAAATATTTGATTATAATACGCGCAAATAGATTTTCTTTTTCTTTATAGACATATTAAAAGTTTAGAAAGACAGTCCCTCGGGAAACCGGAAACAGCCGCCCTGCGGGAAACAAAGGACTGCCCTCTGGGGAACCACGCCCCAGAGAACAAAAAAGCGACACACGTCGTTCGCTCTCTTCCTCTTCGCTCTGCTCTCTGGACGCTTCCCTCTCATATGGCGCTTCGGCACATGCCCGGCTTGCCCTCTCCCGGCAACACCCTAAGAATTCGACCAGCGCAACAGTCTTTGTTTCGCTTGAAGCTACACACGCGACATCGATTTGTCCCAAAGTTCCAGCAACTTTACTTGTTTTATTTTCTTTCTTTTGTTTTGTTAAAAGTTATCAGTCCATTAGGTTACACTGGTCTAATTCAGGAACGACCAAGTTCCCTTTTAAGCTTTTTTCGTCGAGCTAACCCAGGTTAAAATTCCATGGTCCCATTTTTTTTCTCATTCACCTGAACACACCACCAGACACACCCTTGAGTCACATGGTAGTTTCAGTGAATGCTTTCAACTTATCATAACGCTCGAGCGCGTTTTAAAAGCTGAGGTGAGTTTCCCCAATCAGTAGTGTGAGGGGGAAGCCACGGGAGCAGCTGCATCGGTATGTCTCTACACAAACAATGCTATTTTTGCTTATTTTCCATCTTAAATGTTTGTTTGACTCCAGCATGCGATTGTGTATTTGTAGTGCCCACTTCCGTGGTCTTTAGAAGCCGACTGGTGCCGCGGTGTGTCGAATATCTGTGGGAATTGGTGAGTCTGTTTGTTGTGTCCACTGGCATGTTGCTATTAGCATTATCATCCCTAGGTATTTTAATGGGATACTCCACTAGCTCAATGCTAACAGCATTAGCCATCTCAATGTAATTCAATGGGCTGTGGTGGCTGGTAGCATTAGCAATGCTTATAGCATTTGCTTTCCATTGCTCCTATGAGTTTTTATTGGGTTCAATGAATGATAATGCAATCCTAGCACTTTGTTTTCAATGCTATGGCTTTGTTTAAGTATTTAAATGGTTATTTACATACTGAGTGACAAGATTATCAATTGTATTGAATGGAATGTTATGTTGTAAATAATCCTAACATTTCTGGGTGTTTATTTACATGCATTTAAGTACTCTTGTACAAGTTGTTGTCATTTAACAATTACTTATGCCATGCTATTATGTACACATAAAACATAGCTAGTAGATAAACTAAATAATGAGTAGTGATTAAACCATGGGTCCTGTTTATTTAATACAGTCCAGGTGAAGCCAGTTGCGGGTCAGTTGATGGCGAGCTGCTACTACTACCTGGAACAGAACCTGCCCCAACAACCTCATCGCCCCCTGTGGGTTTGGTAGGAGGCTGTTGCAGCTTTGCTCACTCCCTCCACTCATTCTCACACACGGCCATTCAGTAAGCCTTGGCTTATGGACTATTTGCGTTCCACGGATCATTCTCGTCATTTGGACGTAGCGTTCATCTTTCATGAACAAACGAAAATGTCCTATACTGTGTTGTGACTGTCCTTAAATCTGAGTACTCCTCAATTTGTTGCTGTATTTTGTCTTTCTGTGAACTAATGAGTCAACGGAACTGAATTTCCTCAAGTGCACTTTATCAAAACCAATGTTTCTGCAGATTGTAAATATATTGGGTATTCAATCACGTGGTCTCGCCAGCGACAATGAAGGACACCTGGAAAAACAGCCGAATTGCCAGACGGAGGGCGGCCAACACTTGAGGGTTTTTCTTCAGACACGGAGAACCTTGGAGAATCCCCTAGCAAAATGCCAGGATCGGGCAGCTAGCGTGGGACCCGTGCAACAGGCCAAAGCAGGCCGCCGACAAGCAGTAAGACCTGTGGTCAGGGATGTCCCATAGTGTTAATATTGTCTCTTTAACTCCTAAACTCACAGCTTACACTCATTACTTCTCCTCTGCCGTATGAGTCAAATGCTTCCCAGAATCAAACCTCCATTCTCATTGTTTATTTCTCTGACGTATTTAACCACTTTTTTATATCACCTTTAGTTAGTCAATAAATTCACTGTAACCAAGGAATTGTTTGTATTGCTTAAGTCCCTGCCAAAAGAATTTACCCTTTAGATATGAGACTGACTTAAGATAATTGAGTGATTATTAACTGATCACTGGTGAATAACTGTAATTATTAAAAGCTACCTAGAGGTCCGTAGACTCTAGGTTAATAACTCTGGTGGTGCCCCGCGAAACGAGGGATTTATAGATTAATGTTGTCTGAATATTAAAATTCAGAATTGGGTATTCTCATAAATTTATTAAAATTCATAGGTAGTTTAGACATGCTACAGATTTAAAATGAACAACATCAGTTATAGTACGAATGTCAGGGGGGCGCTTGTTCCAGAGTTTTGGGCCAGCAACAGCGAAGGCCCGATCTCCCCACTGTATGTACCTGGACGTCGGGACTTCTAAAGTCCGTCGATCTGAAGACCGCAACAGCCAATTTTTGCCCACCCAAAGTTAAAAGTTCGGGAAAAAATACTCCGGGGCTAGCCCACTTAAGGCTTTGAAAACAAACAAACAAAATCTTAATCAATTCTAAAATGCACCGAAAGCCAGTGTAGTGTAAAAAGAACGGGAGAGATGTGTGCACTTCTAGATGTATTTGTTAAAAAGCGAGCAGCAGCATTTTGCACAAGTTGAAGACGTGAGACGGATGTTTCACTTGGACCAACATAAAGAGCGTTGCAATAATCTAGCCTTGAACTAATAAAGGCATGGATAGCCTTTTCTAGATCGTGCCTGTGAAAAGGCTTTACTTTAACCAGGAGACGAAGTTGGAAGAAGCTCGTTCTGACAACATTGCTTCTGTTTGTCAAATTTCATGCTACAATCGAATGTCACACCCAGATTTTTGACCGTTTGTTTGGCGCATGAAGTCACCGTTCCCAGACTTAAAGCGGGATTGTTTGACATGAATTTTGTACTGAAGATAATACTCAGTTTTGTCTTCATTCAGATTAAGGAAGTTCCGAGATAGCCACAATTTAAGCAGGCAGTTTAGTGCAACACTGTCATTAGGTTTTATAGGCAGATAAATTTGCAGGTCCTCTACATAACACTGAAATGACAGGTTGTGCTTGTCTATTATAGATATATATATGAGAACAGGATGGGGCCAAGAATTGAACCCTGGGGCACCCCGCAATAGAGAGGAGCAGATGAGGAGAAATCACCCATTGTCAAATAGGAGCTAAACCATTTAAGTGCAGAGCCTTGAATGCCTACAAAGTGCTCAAGGCGTGCGAGAAGGACTGCATGGTCCACTGTATCAAAAGCAGTCCAACAGCACTAATAAAGTAGGATCCCCAGAATCTACAGACAAGGCAATATCATTGTGAACTCGTAGCAGTGCAGACAGTGCTGTGATCTAAAACCAGATTGAAATTTTTCAAACACTGCGTTCTGTTATAAAAAGATTTGTAACTGTTTAAAAACTTTTTCCAGCACCTTCGAAAGAAAGGGCAGATGTGAGACTGGTCTAAAATTGGACAACACATTGGGGTTGAGATTAGGCTTTTTTTAAGTAGGGGCCTAACCATAGCATGTTTAAAAGCATCTGGGACAGAGCCAGAACTGAGACAAAAGTTAAAGGCAAGGAGAATCGACCCAATGGCGCTAAAAACCTCCTTCACCATCCTGGCGGGAACAATGTCTAAAGGACAGTTGGTAGGTTTCATGTGGTGTACGACCTCAGTGAGCAACATCAGAGAAACAGGCTTAAATTCCTCAAACACAGCAGAATGCACAGGAGCAGCAGGTACAAACACTAAAATCGACCCTGGCTGACTGATGCTACTTTATCAATAAAATAACAGAGAAACTTCTCACACATACAGAGAGAGAGAGAGAGGTGGGGCAGATGCATTGTCCAGCGGCAGAAACTGTAATGAAAAGAACATAAAGTTGTGAACACTTGTAATAACTCGGGAGAAATGTGACCCGTGAGAGGACAATGAAAAACGGGAGTCTCCTGCGCACTAACCGGAGCTGTGTTGCTCCTTGTTTGCTTCTGTAGCCTGCAACAGCGTGCTGCGTGTGACCGTGTTATTCTTCTGCGCATGCGGGTCACTTTCAGGCCGTGGACAGTTCACACTGGAGTCTGATATGGGCCACATTTAAACAGTAATGTGAACTGTCAAACAAAAAAAATCAGATCTGGGGATTGAATTGAGCATTAAGGCCTGCAGTCTGAACATAGCCATAGTTGTTTATATTCTTCATTAAGCACTATATTGATAATTAAATGTGTATTAAATAGCCTATATCTCTCTCTTATTAAATTAATGGCTGTGTCTGACAGTGTACCTCAACCTTAAAAAACTCGTACCATAATGTAGGCATGTGATTCATTTACATTGTAACAATATTTCTTAACAACTAGGCAGCATATGAAATCCACCATAATCAATTAGAAAATTAGTAGGCCTACGTTTTATTAAGTCATTACACTGGATCGGCATGCTGTCACATGTCTGACAGGCCACTGTGCACCACACAGAACACTGGCTGACAAATTGTGCAGTTTGGCTTGATACTCATCAAGTAGGCTATTTGATTTTTCCCACCCTCGTTGTCGTTGGTACTTTAGCATCCGCTTTCATTTCAGAGGTGACACGGGAGATTTCTCGAGTTGCCGCCGCCGTTGTTTCAGCTCGACTCCCTGCAAAGACACCTGCCCTTAACTGACACCGATTGGCCCTGAACCTGACGGTATTAATCAAACCAACAATGGCAGCAAATATTACCCAATCGGGTAGAAAAGGAGAGGTATTCACAGAATACGGGTGGGATGATTTGCCTGGGATGCTGAATTAAAGACAACTCGGAAAAACAAGACAATGCTATTTAGTTCTCAAATATGGGACGATTCCATATTTTAAGGGACGGGCTGCAACCCTATTAACATTAACATGGTTACCTAGCTAGCTACTGCTAAATGCTGCGAAATAAGGCTAAATGTTAGAAGCGAATGCTAACGCTGTGAAGCTAATCGCTACCGCTACAAAGCTAATGCAAACGCTACAAAGCTAATGTTTCAAAACTAAATGCTAATGCTACAAAGTAAATCCTAATGCTACGAAGTAAACACTACAGCTCATTTCACAAGCTAAACGCTAATGACCCTTCCTGATAGGAAGCCATTCGCACCACGGCATGCACGTGAGCTTGCCAAGCGGTGCGCTGCGCTTTGCTCGACACAAGCCATTGGAAAGAACAGGTTTCATAGCATAGTAATGCCGTCGTTGCAGTCTGTTTGAGAGGCCTATGACGCTACAAAGCAACACTAACGCTACAAGCTAAACACTAATGCTATGAAGCTAAAGCATGAAGTTAACACAAAGCAAATCGCAATGCTTCGAAGCTAAAGCTATGCAGCCAACCAACACTGTAAAGCATGCAATGAAGCTAACGTAGCAGGGCTAACGTAGCTAATGCTGATACGTAACTTACACTATATAAGTTACGCAACCTACATAACTTATTAAAAGCTAAGTCATATTATTTCACGTGGGAACCAAACGGCTTGGGTTACCTCTCGCCTTGCCTCCTCTGCAATTCTGCGGTCTGCTGCATAGCACTTTACCATTCTCTCCTCTAGGAGCCAATCACTGCAGCAGCCATAGCTTCCTTTAAGTACCCAAGACTATGAGTGTTGGTCATCATCTGTCTTTGAATGCTACCTTTGGCCCAAGAATCAAGCTGTTTTCTATGCTCAAGGGCCATACGCGTCATAACTTCTGGATTTTTATAATACTTAGCAATAGCAACTCAAACTAGCATGTATAATTCAAATGGCCTCACTCAGGTCATCTGGCTAATACGTGTTCAGTTGGGTCCTCCTGCTGGCACTTCCACGTAGCACATGAAGGGCCGGGTAGGTTTGTCGTGGGCGTTTGGGAGTCCCTACTGCTGCTCTCTGCCTCGGGCTTTCCATGTATGGACATGGACGGGCAGCTCTCCCTACTTTATGGCTTTCCACGTAGGCACGTAGAAGGGAGGTGTGGTGTTTTGGAGGGTTCTGTACTGCGGTGTGCTCTCCCTGCCTCATTCTTTCCACGTAGGCGGGTGGATGGGGGAGATCCCAGAACAGAGCCATACCGCCAAACTAAAATGCGGAACTACAATTCCGCAATATCAGTCTTTGAGGAAAGTTGTCCTGACTGAACTTTAACTGTTTTATGTACACTCGCTGGCCACTTTATTAGGTACACCTGTTCAATTGCCTGTTAACACAAATAGCTAATCAACCAATCACATGGCAGCAACACAATGCATTTAGGCATGTAGACGTATTTCAGAAACTGTTGATCTACTGGGGTTTTACCGTAAACCATCTCTAGGGTTTACAGAGAATAGTCCGAAAAAGAGAAAATATTCGGTGAGCGGCGGTTGTGTGGATGAAAATGCCTTGTTGATGTCAGAGGTCAGAGAATGAGCATACTGGTTGGACAGAAAGGTAACAGTAACTGAAATAACCACTCGTTACAACCACAGTATGCAGAATACCATCTATGAACACACAACACTTTGAACCTTTAAGCAGAGGGGCTACAGCAGCAGAGGACCACAGTGGGTGCCACTCCTGTCAGCTAAGAATAGGAAACTGAGGCTGCAATTAAAATTTGGCATAAACAACATAAAAGCATAGATCCATCCTGCCTTGTATCAACGGTTCAGGCTGGTGGTGGTGTGTAATGGTGTGGGGGATATTCTCATGGCACACTTTAGGCCCCTTAGTACCGATTGAGCATTGTTTAAACACAGCAGCCTACCTGAGTATTGTTGCTGACCATGTCCATCCCTTTATGACCACAGCATAACCATCTTCTGATGGCTATTTCAAGCAGGATAATGCACCGTGTCACAAAGCTGAAATCCTCTCAAACTGGTTTCTTGAATATGACTAAGTTCACTGTACTCCAGTGGCCTCCACAGTCACCAGATCTCAATCCAATAGAGGACCTTTGGGATGTGGTGAGTGGAGATTCACTTCTTGGATGTGCAGCCGACAGATCTGCAGCAACTGCGTGATGACAATATCGACCAAAGTCTCTGAGGAATATTTCCAACACCTTTTGTTGAAAGTATGCCATGAAGAACTAAGGTAGTTTTGAAGGCAAAAGGGGCTCCAACCCAGTACTAGCAAGGTGTACCTAATGAAGTGGCCGGTGAGTGAACTTCTAACTATGTGTTGTTTTAAGTGCTCTTGCTCTTGTAAAGGATAATAATTTATATGTTGTTGTATTTAACTTTTCTCTATTTATCAGAACTTTTTTCCGTCTTTATGCTGCTACAACACCCGAATTATCCCTTATTTACACACAGAGCAGTGGGATCTCCAACAACAACAAAACACATGGTTTACACTGTTATAGGCCAAAACATACAGCCTCAGGAGTCCACTATAGCATGAGCTATTTTTCTGTGTAATTTCATCTTTAACATTGTATCAATTGGATTGGTTAATGTTGTGGAAATTATATTCCTGGTGAGGGGCTGAGCAAATAATTGAGTTACAACAAACCGTTGTCTTTGAAGAATTTATTTAATAAAAGAGAATAAACAGAGAAGTACTACAACACAAATCAGTTGGACCAGCTGTCACTAACGTCTGGCCCCGAGCAAAGGGATGCATCATCATTTACACAGTCTATGTTTCTATGTTTTGGGGAACAGAGATCCTCTCTCGGCCTTGAATGAACATTCCAGGAGAGGAACAACAAGAGAGGGAAAGCACCAAAAACAATCTCACAGCTCTGACCTAAACCCTAGTAAGTAAAGGAGAGGAAAGGTTAAGGATTAAAACATACATGATAATGATAATAGTAAAAGAACATACATAAAAGATTAAATGAAAGAGGACACAATTTTCTGCCATAACAGTTAATTTGTAATGTTTGAAGATTACTTTTGGCTGCAACTAGTTATTATACTGTTATGCTGTCTCTGCAGTCAATAACACTCATGTAAGTTTAGCTTCATTGTCTGAATGATGCTCTTTTGAAAGAGAAAATTTTCATCTTTAACATAGACAGACTGAATTCACTGATGAAATCTGGATTTTTAACATCTCCACTATGAAAACAAAAAGGATGTAGCAGAAGATTCACAATCAGTCCTGAAGTCCAGCAGTGTTTTGGAATATAAGCAGACTGATGAAGGGAATGAGACCCTGACAGTGAAAGTTGGTCTCAGCAGGATGTTTCAGTTCCTCTCCCCTCATTAACGAGAGTCAGGAGGTTTTTTGTACAGCCATGTGTACAAACTGAATCACTGTGATATTTGGACAAGGCACCAAGCTGATTGTGACAAGTAAGTACTTTTTAACTGATCATAAAACAAGAGATTTTCTAATTTGAAAGAGTATCAGACATTATGTTATCAATACTAAATTTGTGTGCTTGTTTTGTTTATTTAACTTGAAAGGTTTAAGGATAGCTTACATTTTAACTGAATTTTGCTATGATCATCTGTGTTTATTGGCTGTTTGGAAATTGTTTGAGAATTGTTCATATTTTAAAGTTATAGATTGTTAGATTTTGTTTTAAAGAGTAACAACTGTTCATATTGTAAGTGATAATTTGTAAATGTGTTGGAAGATTTAAAATGCTTTTCTTCTTCAGTTTCACTTGTTATATTGTCAACATGACTAATAAATGAATCTGTTACTGTCTTGCCTTGCATTAAATATTAAATTCCTAGTTGTTTGATGAATGTCCTTCATGTGTTTTCAGGCTCCAGCCTCCCTCCTCCTGTCCTGACAGTCTTCCCTCCGTCCAGTGCTGAGCTCCAATCCAGCAAAGCCACTCTGGTCTGTCTGTCCATTTTGCCCAGTGAGTCTAAGGGTTTTGCAGATGTGAGCTGGTTGGCTGCTGGGAGTCCAGTGAGCAGTGGGATCTCTACCAGCACCGCTGTTCAGCAACCAGACAAGACTTTCCAAATCGGCAGCTATCTGGCCATCCAGACGTCAGACTGGAACATGGATAAGGTTTACACATGTAAAGTGTCTTTGGGCTCCCAGACTTCAGAGAAAAACATCAACAAGTCAGACTGTCCCACTGAAGAATAGTAGAGGAGCAGAATGACCATTTCAAACCTGCTTCTTTACTGTTTGTGCTGTTGGCTCATTACAAGGTTTACATGTTAGAAAAGATGTGTCTGCATGCTTGTAATAAATGTTGTGACAGTTAGGTGGAGACGTTGTATCAGCTTTGCAATTGCTGCTTTTTCAAAACTCATTCAATAAAATACTGTTACCCAAAACATTTTTGTATTTATTTGTATTCTTAAACATAATTTAAAGCGATAATGTTCTACAAAATGTTATAAACTTTACTAGATGTTTTTTTTCACCTGATGTTCATCTCACTGATAATTACAGTTAATCAGGACAAATAGATAACAGATACATTTCTGTTTAACTGTTACTTAAATATGTATTTAAATTCATAAATTACAGAAAAACACAACAAAGATTAATATCACTTTGCCTGGTTTTAGTTGCTTGCAAAGGTTAAGACGTTAGAAAAAATTGATAAAATGAGCAAATGAAACTGAGTTTTCATTTTCTGTCAGTGAAGCATCACCTCTCTACTCCTCCCTCTCTTCCATCCCAGGATGCACCTGTAGGACTCCTCTGCTTATTTATAGCTCCATGTAAATGAAGAGGTCAAGTGTCAGCTCTCTGTACAATCAGAGGGAACGGTCTCTGACTGGAAACACACTGATGGTTTCATTATTAACATTTGGTCAATCAGAGACAGTTTATCTCTAATGTGTGTGAATTATGTTCATGTGTGCAGAGCCAAAGTTTATGGCCTGCAGTAGATGTTTCTTGTTAAAATTTTAAAACACGTTTAATCTTAAAATAAAAGAGCAAAATTGACAATTTAAGAAACTCTAAACAATCAAACTGGTGAAACATTTATTAGAAAGTTAAGAAAGAACCAAATCTATGACAACAAACTCATGATCTTTTAATATAAGTGGGGAGAAATGGCCTACATTGACAATAACGGAGACAGAAATTATTTCAGACTTTTCCCTTTACAGAAGATAAGAGACCAACAAATGTGACAAACCATGCAGACGTAAGCAAAGCTCCTCCTCCTGTCAGTCACTCTCAGTTTCAGTGTTGTATTAAATTGCTCCTCCAGCACCTCCGCTCCTCATCCTCCAAACCTTCTAATCTGTCAGCAGTAAGCTCACTTTCCAAGTTACAAGGCCATTCTCAGCACACACTGACACCATGCTGGGGACCCTCTGCACTCTCATCACTGCTCTAACATGTAAGGAGGCTGACTTACTGCAGCTTTGACCTCATGTTGGATTCATCAGTCTGTGTGTTTCTCTTGACTCCATGTCATCTTGTTGTTTCCAGGTGTGAGTGGTGTGACGGTGGTGACACAGAAGCCTCCTGTTGTGACGCTGAGGAAGGGAGAGACAGCCACCATGGACTGTAACCTGGGGACTGTTACTAACAGTGCTGCCTACTGGTATAAACAGATTCCTGGAGGAGTTCCTCAGCATGTAGTGAGGTTTTATCACAGCTGGAGCTCTCCAGAATATGGCTCTGGTTTCTCATCTCCCAAGTTCACATCTACTCATCAGTCTCAATCAGATTATCGTTTGATCATCAACAACGTGGAGGAGGGAGACTCAGCAGTCTATTACTGTAAAACATGGGACAGCTCTGTGAATGAGTGGGTATCACAGTGAATTACTCTGTGACAAAAACCTTCTCATTGAACACTTCTGCTTTTTTTCTTAACAGGTAGTGAAGCCATCAGCCAATGTTTTCATGCTTTAAGACAAGAACAGAAAATATGTTTACTAGTAAATGTAAACCTCTGAAACACAAATGATCATATGTTATTCTGTTGTAAAAATCATTGTGTCTTGCCAGTTATCAGGCAAAGTGTATAAGGTTTGCAGCAGATTCTCATTTGCTAACTCTAAATACAAATAATGTGATAAATCTGTGCGGTGCACATGTGGTGATGGTTGTTACAGAAAATTAGTGAGTTGTATTTTTCCTTCTTCATGAACAGCTCCAAAGATCATCTGGAAACCAAAAATTACAAACACTAAACCGAATGAAAACACTACATTTACCTGACAAAATGTCATACAGATTTAGCAATTCATGTTGTGTTTCCAATGAATGAAAAACTGGAGTCTACATTAATATGGAGCATGCTACTTCAGTGAGAGGAAGTTATTATAAAAAGGTGATAAAAAAGTTTTACAGAAACAACTGATGAGTTAATAATACTGATGAAAAGTATAATAACAGGATTCAAAATACAACAAGAACAACAAAAATATCACTTAATTACACATATATTACTAAAAGTCTGTTCTCTCACACACAGCTGAACAATGATCAAATAAAAGTAATATATGATCTGACAGATCGTCTAGATTCTGATATGTCTAATGTCTCTAAAAGATTCATCAAAACAAACTGGATAATCATTCAACATTATAACTAAGATTCTATTGGTAGAAAACTTAGAAAAGTATAAAACTGAAACATGAAGTAAACATGTATATTCAAACTAAGTGTTCCTCATGATTCAGTCCTGTTCACTGACCTTATTTACCATCTGAGGAGTCCACTCAATAATAAACTCTAATCATCAGCAGACAAAACTCAATAAGAAGACATGTTTGGGAACAACAGGATTTGAAATAGTTGTTTTTAAATGATTCGCGTTTTGTGAAACTACATGATGTAGTTGGTTTATGAATGAAAACTATGTTGGGAGTAGAAACTCCTCCTCTTCCTCCACTTCTCCTCTCCTCAGTGTCTTTATAAGCTTCAGTCTCTCTTCTCCTCACACTCCAACCCTGCTCACCTCTCAGCTGGACAGTAAGGGACGTTTACACCACACACTGACACCATGCTGGGGATCCTCTGCACTCTCATCACTGCTCTAACATGTAAGAGATTCTTCTCATTCCTTTAATAGCCCATATTTTCATACAGAAACCTTTCACTCATGTATTTTTCTGTGTATGTTGACAGATGTTGATGCAGTGATAGTGCTGACACAGACGCCTGCTGTCCGCACAGTTTCTACAGGACAAGAGGTTGTTCTCAACTGCAACATTGAGCGATATGATGGGAATTCTGTCAGATGGTATAAACAGGTTCCTGGTGAAGCTCCTCAGTTTGTTCTGAGATTTCACTATAGCGACAGTTCACCCAGCTTTGGATCAGGATTCTCTTCAGACCGTTTCAACTCTAAAGCCTCATCAAACATAGATTACCAGTTCATCATTAAGCGGTCAGAGGCAGGAGACTCTGCTGTCTATTACTGTCAGACATGGGACGACTCTGCTTCTGCAGCTGTATCACAGTGATTCACACTGTGACAAAAACCTCCTCACTTACTACTTCTGCTTTTTGACTCTCTGACATATCAAATAATGCTCTCTATAACTACATTTTATGAGGCTTTAGAATGACTTAAAAGAAGTTTCCTAAATCTTTCTGTAAAGACCATTTTCAAACAAAAGTTTACTCACTAATCTCTCTACACCAAAGAGTAGAAGTAATTAAATTCAGTGTTTGTTGTTTTCTGTTTCATTTTGTTCTCTTCAGGACAGTGCAGTGAAAAACACCAATTAGAGATAAACACAGATAAGCACAGAGATTCATTCTTGACCTTGGGGACAAATTTATGTGCTAAACATTTATATTGATTAGTAAGTGGACCTTGAGTTGAGAATAATAAATACATATAAACAAATATAAGTACAAAAAATATGTCATCTCATGATTTTCTACTTTAAAATCAACGTCAAGTTAATCAACAAAATTTGGTTATACTTTAAAAAGGTATTTGGATTTAAATTCACTATGCTATCTATGTCAGTGCAACATTTTGAGAGAATTTATTTAATTATAATAAAATGCAATAGGAGATAAACATTTGTGTTCACACTATCCCTCACCTATAACTCAACACTAATGTTTTAGACCACCGGCCTCTTTAACAGCTCATAAAATTAATTTAACATTTTTTATCAGCTTGATACTAAATGACTTTTCCTAATTTTATGAAAACTGCTGATAAACATATTTTTCAACTGATTACATGTTTCATTTGTTTACAACAGAAAATGACTCATTACTTCTTTTCAGGGTCTCAGTAAAACCCATTAAATACAATGGATTTAAAACATCTTGTGTAGTCAGCACTGTTTATGCAGCACCACCCCTCCCAAATACCAAATAAGTCTAGATTATTTTAATTGTAATTGACCTCAAACAAAACGTCATCATGTGGCAGAACATAGTGTACAATATTGGCAAGAAAATTGAAGCTGTTCATTTATAGCCCATATATCATATTAAACATGAAATATTTCTTTAGTTGTTGTGATAACAATGATTTATTGTAATTTCTGTATTTTAACACATTTATCAAATGCTCAAGTCCAGTTTGTGGCAAAGGGAGAGGGAGGATGCTTCATCATCTTCATGACCTCTCACACCTGGAGAAGCAGGGAAGCACTGTGAGTCATGATCTTTAAATCTTCCAGTGCTTTCAACACTTCCCTCCCCTGCCTTATAAGGGAAAAGCTGGCAATGTAACCTGGATCATGGACTACCTCACTGGCCGGCCACAGCATTTTCAGAGTTGATGGCAGTGACTCTGAGGTTGTAATAAGCAACACTGGCGCACCTCAAGGAAGCGTACTGGCACCGTTCCTCGTCACACTCCACACCTCAGACTTCCCTTTAACTCTGCTTCCTGCTTCCTTCAAAAGTGTTCTGAGGTCTCCTCCATTGTTGGCTGCATCAACAAAGATGAAGAGGTGGAGTACAGAGGACTGATAGATAGCTTCATCACACGGTGCATCAACAATCAGCTGAAGCTCAAAATCAGCAAAACCAAAGATCAGGTGGTGGACTAACAGAGGAACAGGATGCCCACTGTCCCAGATATCAATGGAGAGGACATGAAGAGGGTGGACTCATAGCAGTACCTTGGGGTCCAAATCAATAATAAACATTGACGCCCCCGTCAGAAAGGGACCGATCAGACTTTCCTTGCAGAGGAGACTCAAGTCCTTTAATGTGTGCAACAGGCTCCTGCAGATCTTCACCCAGTCTGTAGAAGCCAGTGCACTGTCCTTTCCTGTGGTGGCATTAAGGGTGGTGAGACGAGCAGACTCAACAAGCTGGTCAGGCTGAAACTGGACAACCTGGAGTCAGTGGCGGAGACAAGGGTGAAGGATAAAATCACAATCA